CTAGATCCGTCGCCGGATGACAGGCGCACCGAAAGGATCTGAAATCTGAATTGGAACATGGAAAATCTAAAATGCTTAAATGTCATCAGGGTTCAGGGGAAGAAGAGGGAAGTAGATTTCATTTTTCTCACCCCGCATCTTCCTGACAAAGAGCTTGGAGGCCTTGAGCACCTCCACGCAGATGGAGACGTCGGCAGCTTCTACAAGGTCGCAAAGCTCCTGCGCAGCGAACTCGACCGGCACCCCAAAGGCAGCCATGAAGAGAGCGAGGCCGTGGGCGCCCGCAGCGCCGACCGCATCGCCGACCCCGCCGCCGCTGACGCGTAGGAGGCGGCGCGCTGCGCCCCATCAGCGTGGCTTCACGGGCCTCCTGCCGCAGCAGCAGCTCCGCCCCTCCCTCCCCTGTCCCCGGAGGCGCGGGCACCCGGCGCGCACATAGAGCTCGAGGAGGAGCGTGCAGGCGGCCTCCACGTCGGGGCTCTTGGCGCGGATGTAGTAGCGGCCCACGGATCTAAGCGCCGTTGGGTGAGAGAGATAGAGAGCGAGTGAGAGAGAGTGCGGCGTCGGATGGATAAGTGAGAATGAAACCCTAGGGTTTCGGATGTCCGACGGGTAGTTTTGTCGCTGGTTGGACGAACTTCAGCCGTTCGATTCAGATCGAGGGATTAGATCGTTGATAGGCTTAACATGCCTGCGGGTTTCAGTGCCCTACCAGCAAAAGTGAGGCCCAAGCCCATGTTTGGGTTCCGGCGGCAGCATTTGTAGGGGCGGCTGGTGATTGAGCCGCCTCTACAAATCGCAACACCGGGGGCGGCTGGTGATTGAGCCGCCCCTACAAATCAGACCCATTTGTAGGGGCGGTTCGTATCACCAGCCGCCCCTACTGTTCTATTTGTAGGGGCGGCTGGTCTCTGGGCTCCCGAGCACGTCACTGTAGGGGCGGTTTCATCACCAACCGCCCCTACAAAAAAATTGCCCCGTTGCTACAAACCGTTTTTCACGTAGTGGGGGCGATCTCCCCCTGAACTTTGCAGGTTTCTCAGTCGTCTTATACCAATATTATGAATACATTTTCTGAATGTAGTAGCTGGTAAAGACTTAGTGAACAAATCTGCTACATTGTTATATGACTGGACTTTTAAGATATTTACCTCACCCTGCTTCTGTAGTTCGTGAGTATAGAAAAAATTAGGAGATATATGCTTAATCATAATATTCTTAATATAGCCCGTTTGCATTTGTGCAACACATGCTGCATTATCCTCATAGATAATAGTGGGGGTATCCACGGTACTAAGACCACATGACTTCTGGATATGGTTAGTCATCCGTCGTAGCCAAGCACATTCACGTGCGGCTTCATATAGCGCAATAATCTCTGAGTAGTTTGTTGATGTTGCTACCAAGGTTTGTTTGCAAGATGTCTAGAATATAGCAGTACCACCACAGAGAAATACGAAACCAGTTTGAGATCTTGCATTATGCGGATCATATAGATATCCAGCATCTGCATAGCCAACCAATCTTAGATCCTGATTCTTCGGGAAATACAAGCCAAGATCTTGGGTGCCATTCAGGTATCTAAGTATTGTCTTAACGCCTAGCCAATGTCTTATGGTTGGGTTCGCACTATGACAAGCTAGCAAATTCACTACGAATGCAATATCAGGCCTAGTGCAGCTCGCAAGGTACATCAGTGCTCCAAAAGCACTCAAATAGGAAACTTCGGGTCTTAAAGGCTTCTCGTCGTCACTTCTTAGTCTAAATGGGTCTTTGTCCTCCTCAAGTGATCTGACAACCATCGGGGTTTTCACGGAATGAGCGTTTGGCATATTAAATCTTTCTAAAACATTTTTCGTGTAGGTAGATTGGTGTATAAAAATTCCTCTAGGGAGATGCTCCATCTACAGGCCCAAGAAAAACTTGGTTCTACCCAAGTCTTTCATTTCAAACTCAGCCTTGAGGTAGGTGCTTGCTTCCTCAATGTCTTCTTTACAGCCTATGATATTTAAGTCATCAACATAGACTGAAATAATACAAAAATCCTTCTGAGATTTTCTAATAAATACACAGGGAGAATCAGTATCATTAACGTATCCCTTTTTCAGGAGGAAGTCACTTAGCCAATTGTACCACATCCGGCCAGACTGTTTAAGCCCGTACAGTGCCCTCTGCAACTTAACACTGTACATGATGCGATTTGTTTTAGAATCCAGAATTTTTAGTCCATCTGGGACTTTCATATATATATATATATATCCGAATCTAGCGACCCATACAGATATGCGGTCACTATGTCCATCATCTGCATTTTCAAGTTTAAGCCTGCTACCATAGATATTAAATATCAGAACGTCATGCCACTCATAACTGGAGAATATGTTTCATCATAATCTATGCTGAGTCTCTGCGTGAACCCTTGTGCTACGAGCCTCGCTTTGTATCTCACCACCACATTGTTCTCATCTCTCTTTCGAACAAACACCCATCTGTATCCTATAGGGAATACTTTGAGGGGCGGGCGGGCGACAGACCCGAATACTTGCCTCTTAGAAAGCGAGCGCAATTCCGTCTCTGTTGCTTCTTTCCATTTGACCCAATCTGAGCGCTTCCGGCACTCTGCCATGGACTTTGGTTCAGGATCCTCATTAATCACTTCCACGATCTTAGAGACGAAATTAATGTCGACATCTGTATTCTTTCTGTTATATAGTTCTCCAGATTCAACATAATTTATGGCAATTTCTTCAATTGAATCATCTAGCTCGTCATGATTTCCCAAATTACTCGAGCCAGTTTGTTTCATTGTCCTTGTGCTATTATTTGTATTTATGCGCACAGTTGCACTAGGACTTTTACCTTCAGGATGTGTCACTGCTGGGACGACTGAATGGGAGCATAATGTGTTCTCTCTAACAACTTGCCTTTGTGGGCGTCCCCGCTTGGCTTGTGCCAAGTCATCCGGATCTCTCCCTCTTTTCCTAGGATTGGGGGTTTGGGTAGAGTTCATGCCCTCCAGGGGCATCTCCACTCTCCGGTGCATTAGCCACAGGAATATACGATTTTGACACCTCTTATATCAGTAAACACCTCTGGTAGATTATTCGTTAATTGTTGCAGGTTTAGGATCAAGGGATTGAATGTTGCTGGCAGTCTAATCTATTTCTCGGCATTCTTTATTATTAAGGTACAATGCTCCCCATAATGCTGTGAAATGCTCTTCATCGAAGATGCTATCAGCGTACCGAGCCGTAGACAGATCTCCGATTTCATGCTCCAAATATTTGATTATGGACGGAGAGTCATAACCTATATATATATCCTCAACTTCCGGTGAGGTCCCATAGTTGTACGCTGGGGTGGTGATATCGGCACATATATAGCACAACCGAATTTTCGCAGATGGGAAATCATTGGTTGTTGTCCACACGCTAACCGGTGGGGGGAAGCAGAGTGAGATGCAGATGGCCTATACTGGATTAAGGCAGCAACGTGCAGCACTGCGTGTCCCCAACAACTGGTTGGAAGTCTGCTATCTTGTAGAAGCGGTCTGGCAATTAATTTTATTCTTTTATTAAAGATTCAGCAAGCTCGTTTTGTGTGTGCACATGGGGCACATAATGCTCTACATTTATGCCCAAAGCAAGACAATAATCATTAAATGCTTTTGAGGTGAACACTCCGGCATTATCCATCTTGATTGCTTTTATACGGTTCTCCGGGAAGCTAGCACGCAATCGAATGATTTGGGCAATAAGTTTTGCAAAAGCATGGTTCTGCGTAGACAACAGGCATACGTGGCTCCACCGAGTAGAAGCATCTATAAGCACCATAGAGTATCTAAAAGGCCCAACAGGGGGTGAATAGGATCACAAATGTCACATTGGATTCTCTCCAGAAAACCTAGGGACTCGACATTTAACTTCAGGTAAGAGGGTTTAGTTATTAATTTTCCTTTAGCACAAGACACGCATAGAAAGCCTTTAGGAATTTGTGTGGTTTTAATGCCATGACCAGCAGATCCTTTTACAGGGTGTCCGAGTCTTTTATGCCAGATTGTAAAAGATTCAGGATTTTTAAATATAGTAGACATCGCAACGTATTGTTGAGGTGGCTTAATTTTTGTGTAGTAAATTCCAGAGGAGGTGCCCGGCGCTTTTTCTACCACTTTTGTCCCACATTCGTCTGCTGTCGTGATATAGAGGTATTCAGCACCATTTTCACAAGCAGTTGTAACGCAGTAGCCACTACGGCGTATATCTTTGAATGTGAGGAGAGTACGTACAGCTCCCGGGTACAAAAATGCTTCTTCTATGAATATGCTGGTATTATTAGGGAGTATGACCACGGCTCGACCAGAGCCTACAATATGGCCGTTGTGACCAACAATCGTGGTAATATTTTCAGTCTTTCTCTGCAGTATCTGAAAATATTTTGTCTCTCGAAGTATTGTATTTGTGGCAGCGCTATCAACCAGGCAAAATTCTTCTTCAGCCTCCATGGAAAGTACGACTCTTGTTCTATTAAATATAGTACTAATTTAATCTGTCATGTATAATCAATATAGCAAGCCGATTAAAAGATAGCACGTAACTGAACAAGGGATAAACTGATTAAAATAATGCTATGCACCAAGACATTCATGTCGAGAGTTAATGCTAACAAAAATAATAAAGTTGCTCAATAGGAGCACTATAAATTGATTAAAATAATGCTATGAACCAAACCATTCATGCCGAGAGTTTATCCTAAGTTGCTCAACGGGAGCATTATTACATCACACGGGACTTTAATTGTTTTGCTGAAAATAAATCACACTAGCTAACAAATAAACAAATGGCTGATAACTTGGTCTACTCCTCGTCAAGGAGATCCTCGTTGTCGAGGTCAAAATCATCATCACCAGTATAGGCATCTCCCTTTTCAGCAGTATGATCGCCGGTGGCATTATGATCAACATCCTTAGTTGCTGATTCAAGCTTCTCCGTAGGCTCTGATGGCTACGGGAGGTCTAGTCCAGTCATGGCATCGACAGATGCCTGGACGAAGTGTACTTTTGGGTTTTGGCGCTTCTTCCACTCTTGATATAGCTCAATCAAGTGTGGGTCGATAGTGCAAGTACGGGACCAATGCTGGTGGGATCCACAGCGGAAACAACCCTCATTTGAGTGTTTCCCTCCACTTGCCTCGTCCTTTGAGCCCTTCAGGGACTTGCCTTTGCCATTGCCACTGAACTTCTGGCCTTTGCCATTGCCATTGGACTTCTGGCCTCTGTTCTTAAACTTTCCCCCTTTTTGCCCATGTTGACCATGAAACTTTTGGCCGTTGTTTCTGAAAGAACCTTTACCGTTGTTATTACGGAAACTGGCATGTGCTTCAGGATGTGCCTGTGTCCCATCAGGGCACATGTGGAAGTTCTTCATCAAGAGTCCATTCTGAGCCTCAGTGGCAAGCAGCACATTGATTAGATCACAGTACTTCATGTACTTATTGTCATGGTACTGCTACTGGAGTACCATGTTGGTGGTGTGGAAAGTCTTGAGAGTTTTCTCAATCATCTCGAGTTCAGTGATGACTTGGTCACAAAAGTGAAGCTGAGCCACGATATGGTGAATCACAGTATTATATGCCTCAACTGTCTTGAAGTTGAGGAAGCGGAGTTGTGCCCAATCACGCCTGGCCTGTGGGAAAAGCACTGCCTTCTGCTTTCCAAAGCGTTCCTGAAGCTTCACCCACAGTACCAGAGGGTGTTTCACCTCCAGGTACTCCATCTTTAGGTTAGGATGAATATGATGCCTCAGGAAGATGCAAGCTTTTGCCTTGTCATGGGGTGGCAGAGCAGGAACACCGGCTGCAGGCCTGGCGATCATGGGAGTCAGCTGCATCGCCTGCAGATGGAACTCATAGTCGAGGGCCCAGGTTTGATAGTTCTTGCCGTTCAGCTCAAGAACCTTGAACTCCGTCTTGTTGATCGATGCCATTGCCTATTAATTCATGCAAATTAACTTCCGGTAAATAAGCATGAAGTAGTATGTATAGCCATGAATGAATTATTATCAATGCAAAAGAAAAGTGACATAAAAAATATACACGCAAGGCATACAACGGTGGTCTGTAGCCGCCGACATTGCAAGATAGCCATCAGGGCCATGATGGTGTCGCAAGTTTCAGTAGCCAGCGGGGCCACGATGCATGCATAAGTAATGTGCAACTTCAGGCAGCACAACGTGTGGAGTTTGCTTGCTTACGCATCAAATGCGTTGGGTTGGCCGGCGGTGCAACATGAAAACAATTGAAATAAACTAGCGTGCATGCATGGCATGGCCAATGTCCATGGATGGCGTAGTAGTACACACCGGCGTACATGCACAACATAATGGGGTGGCCGATGTCAGGTGGCAGACCGAAGATAAAAAGATATCATCGGTAAAAGCAAGATCAATCTATTACACAAACTAGCAATAAATAAAACCAATCTACTAGGGTTCTTAAAAAAAACTAGTATCCAAAGATTGGATCTGTTATATAAAAAAAATTTAGAACACGTCTAGACTGCTCGCCGAACAAATCTACAAGATTGTGTTATTCGAGATGTCATATTCAAATAATCTAGTAGCTAGTAAAAACAAATCTATTAATCTAGCATACTAGTGCTCACGTGGTGATGGCCGCCATCAGAGCAGCGGCAAGGGGAATTACGTGAGATAAACGGTAAAGATCAATCTAGAACAAGTAAACCAGCCAGAGAAAAACGATCTGCTACGTATCTAGCATGCTAGCTGTATACATGAAACCGATCTAGATTGAAAACAGGAACGAATCTGTGAGCGGATGGATCCAACAGGATGAGGAACAGCATACCGTCATAGATGAGTAGCGGTAGAGCGTGCTAATAACGTGTTAAGTAACAACGGTATTGCGGATCCCTGATCCAGTTCCCTTCCCTCCCCACAGCAGATGAGACGTGAGGAAGTTGTAGATGATTTCTCGTATCCCTTCCCAATAGCACACCAGATGAACACACATGAGAGCAAATGTCGTGGAACTCTTATCTCTTCTTCATTATAGATAGGTACCGGTTTCTTTATATAGTCTTAACCCTTCGGGGGTATATTTGGTATGAGCCCATAATTATCTTAGGGTTATTGTTTCTCAACTGAGGCGATGGTAAACTATTAATGATGGGTGTATTATCACTAAAATGATCTCTTGAAATTGCTGTCACAAGCAAACTTAAACCAAATATGTGCGAAATGACATCTCATTTTAGTGACAATACACCCATCATTAATGATAACGGAGACACTAGTGTCCGGACGTGGCTCGTGGTAATAGGTGGGAGGCCACGCCGCACGCGAAAAGGAGCCCACGCCCGCCTGTTTTCGCACGCCCCACCACGTGGATCCCACGCTGCCCGTCCTACCATTATGCTCGCTTTGTTTCTCTTGATGACTGCTGCGCCCGCATGAGGGAAATCCATGTGGGTCCCAGTCACCTGCCCCTGCCTGCGGAGGCGTCTGTCGGCCTCAGGCACCCGCACAGTGATCCATGCCGGTGCCCCAGCAGCAACAAGCAGTTGCAGTAGGCAGTTGTCCGCCAGCTACCGGCGCCATTGCAACATATGCTCCCATATATCTACTTTTGAAACATCCAGATGAAACACTTGTAACATACGTCTGAAAAATAGATGAAACACTTGAAGCATATGCTTGAAACATGCGTGTATAGCTATAGCAACATATGCAACATCCAGATCTACTTTTGCAATATCCGAATGAAACACGTGCAACACACATATGGAACATCACACTTGAAACATACGCTTGAAACATGCATGTATAGCCATAACAACATATGTAACCTCCAGACGAAACACTTGAAACACACGTCTGAACACCTGAAACACTTGAAACATAGGCTTACAACATACGCAACATCCTATATCTACTTTTGCGACATCCAAGTCTGAAACGCCTAAAACACTTGAAACACGACATCGCCGGTGGCCACGGCCAACCTAGTGGGGATCGGGCGAGCGAGGAAGTGGATTGAGCGCGGTGGACAAAGAGGGGAAGGTCGATTGGTCACCGCTCTTGGCGCGAGTTGCCATCGGAGAGGGATCGAAGTGGCCGGGCAAGCGCGATGGAGAACGGAAGTCATCCAACTGTCGGTGAGTGTGGTGGAGAGGGAGGAAGGCGGCCGCCGGCGCTCGGATGCGGTGGAGACGGAGGATGGAGGCCACCGACGCTTAGATGCAGTGGAGATGAAGGATTGAGACCGTTGGTCGGGCGGGCGTGGTGGAGAACGTCACAACGAAGCTGTCGCTGTGGACCGATGGTGCGAACGCCGCGGCGAGTGGAAGTGACTTTCCTGGGCGGACAAAGCTGCCGAACAAAAGAAACACGAAGGAGCGTAGGACAAAGTTGTTGGGCGTTCGGAACGTCACGGCCCACGCCAACGTGAGCGTCCGGACGATCCGTCGGCACCAGCTGCTCCTCCTCCACGGGCCACAGCCCCGGAGCTCACGAAGTCGACGAACTACCTGAAGTAGGCGTCGTCAATCCGGGCAACTTCCCGTGAGATGAGCTCCACGGCGTACCGCAGAGGCCGGCCCAGCAACTCTCGAGCCATGGTCGCCGGCCGTGCCCAGAGCTCGACGATGCCGGCGTGTCCCTCCGGCACCCGGGGCCGGACCATGCATCCGGGCTCGGCCGTTCACGGCGATGTGGATCCTGGTGGCTTCGCGCCCGTCGAGCCTGCGCGCCTCCGTGACGCACCGCCAGAGGTGCGCTGCCACGCACTGCAGCAGTGCAGTGTGGTATACGGCCGGACAGCGCCGCCGTGCGACGCACGCGTCGCGACTTCAGCTCCGTGATCCACTGCAGGGGCCGAAGTGCACCCTGTGTACCACCACCTCGTCGTCGTCGGCACGGTCGACGACACCATCGTCGTTTCCCGACCTCTCGCCGCGAGGTTTGAACTCGGCGACGCGGTGCTCGAACTTGATCCGCAGCGACGGCGGCGGCGAGTCCCGTCGTCGTGCGAAGAGCGACGTCCGGTCGTGCACCGGGACAGGGTCGATGGCGACGCCGCGAGTGGCCTGTCCCCACGCGACCATGAAGTTCCAGATGGCAGGACCGTCGGCCACCTTGTGATGCATGGTGAAGCCGAGGACGAGGCAGGAGCCGCACTGGAACCGCGTGGCCTGGACCAGCAGCAGCTCCTCGACGCCGTCGCAGCTCGGGTACAGGCTCGGCACCTTGGGGCCCGTAGAAAGCAGCACGACGGTGCTGCCGCCGAACTCGGCGTCGGCCGTCGCCTCGACGTACCGTGCGCCAGCGTCGTTGGGCACGATCGCGCGGTTGCCGCTGGCGGCGTCGACGCCGAGCCGCCCGGCCCACTCGCGGTACACGGCCAGCGCCGTGGCCAGCCCGGCCTCGAGGACGTGGTTGGGCGGCGCGGGCGAGTGGAAGGCGCATACGCCGGTGATGTACTCGTCGTAGCTTACCTTGTCAAACACACTGAGCTGGATGACTTCAGCGGAGGCTGCGACAGCGCACCGTCGCTGCGGTCACCGTAGTCAGGCTTCACGGACTTGGACGAGTGCACGGTGATTCCATTGTGGTGATTTATCTGGAGTTTTTTTTTAGCTCAAACAATACCTATACGAGCTTACTCCTGGTCCTGGCAAACTAACTTGCCTTAAATCACTACCGGAGACGGCTTCTTTGCCGAGTGTCTCAGACTTTGTCGAGTGCTTTTTATTGGACGCTCGGCAAAGAGGCCCTTTGCCGAGTGCCAGACAGAAAGCACTCGGCAAACAACTAGCACTCGGCAAAGAGGTGGTTTGCCGAGTGCCGAGCACTCGGCAAACAATAACACTCGGCAAAGACCAGGTTTGCCGAGTGTCGGGCACTCGGCAAACCAGAACACTCGGCAAAGGGTCGCCGCCGTTAACGGCCGGTAGCTGTCGTTAACCCTTTGCCGAGTGTCTTCTCCTGACACTCGGCAAAGTGGTGATTTGCCGAGTGTCATTTTTTGACACTCGGCAAACCATATTTTTTTTCACTTTTGACCTCTAAACTTTTTCTGCAGTCCTCATACAATACCTGGTACTACATGTTCCAATGTGGCACATTTCTTGGACTTTTTCTGTATTTCTTTAATTTATTTCATTTAATTGAATTTTCTTGGATAATTCAAATTATAACTGCTGGTCATTCGAATAATGAAAAAAATGAATGGAAAAATGATATTCATGTTATTTAGTATAATGTGAGGCCGTATCCTGGAACAGACCACCAATTTCGAACATCTTGTTCACGAAACATGACCATGAACTTGCGGTCGAGTTGTTTTTAAATTCCATAAAAAGCAAACGAAGTCCGAAAATCATGAAACTTGTCAAGATGTCATGATATCATATGTGGAAACTGTGATAAAAATTTGAGAAGGTTTCACGCAAGTTATCACGTACGATGCTTGCAAACCTTTGCCGAGTGCTTAACCTTGACACTCGGTAAAGCCGCCGTCACGGTGGCGCTCGCCGTCACGGTGACTTTTCTTTGCCGAGTGTCAGATTAGCACTCGGCAAAGGCTTTGCCGAGTGCCCGACAAAGTGCACTCGGCAAAGAGGTCTTTGCCGATAAACTGTTTACCGAGCGCTCTTTGCGTTGCCGAGTGTATATCGGCCTTTGCCGAGTGCCTGAGGCAGGCACTCGGCAAAGAAGCTGAGTTCGGTTGTATTTTGATTTGCAAGGAAGAGAGATGTAACACCCGATTTGCTTTTGAAACATCAAAATACAACAGTTACGACATACATCTGAAGGCAGATGAAATACTCGAAACATGTTTCTGAAACACTTAAAAAAACACCTGAAAACACTTGAAAACCATTATAAGCATACGCAACGTCTAGATATAACACATGCAACGCATGTGTGAAACACATGCAAGAACCAGATAAACACACTTACAACAT